CCCCCTTTCCAACACACACATAATCTAAATGATCAAAAAGCCGTACGCAAAAACACCCGCTGGCTATACAGATACACATAGACGCACACACAAATGCATAATAGTATATCCTGGCATCAACAATAATAATGAGGTAATAAAACACACAAGTACGGATACCTCTCCCTTTAGCCAACACTACGGAGGGAGTGCATGACAGCATTGAGCACGTAAAAAGGGGCTTAGTTGCCAAGGGAAATAACCGTGAATTTAACAGTCGCTGTAACCGAGGCGAGGTTATTCAAACCTCAGAAGAACAGCGACCTGAACTCGACCAAGTTATGGTGGAAGGGAGACAAAAAGCCCACAAAACTTGACCAATACCTCATGCTTTTCCCGGTATTGGAATGAGCATTCAACCAAAAGGACTCTTAAATAAAATTTGACATTAAGAAAAATTAAATAATTTCTTTTTTTTTTTACATTAAGAATAACTTTTCTTGTGTAGGAATGCAGGAATATTTGTTATTAATATTATTCTTGCGTTCCTACAAAAATGTATAAACCTTTCATTAAGCTCCACAACCAGACAAAGTTGTGTTGTTGCTGTATAGAACTGACCCTCATTAATATCATAACAAAGTTCTTACAATATATCTGACACCTTTTACATTAAAAAAACATCCATTCATATTTAGGACCGTAATTAAAATTGTACAACAATTTATATGCTTGCACTAAAGTAATCTTAACAAAATATTAGCTTCACAAACACTTTGCCATTGTTGGCAATAGATTTATAACACAACTCAAAATTTTTGCAACAAAACATTCTACCAACTTAACTCATTGATGACGCGCACTCTGGTCATTCGACAACGCATAAATGTGCGCTGTTTTGGGGCATAACTTTTGCATTCAAAACAAGTTTTTCAATTTTGTTGTCTTTACCCAAAACTTCAAAAGGCATGCAGCAATATGCAAACTATAAAATAAGCAAACTCATGTTTCTGATTTGTGTATGATGGTTCAAAATGTGTCAAAACGTTGCCATTGCTCAGCTGCTGATCAGAAGTATGTGTCCGCTTCGTCCTCAAAGAGTTAAAAAGACAATAAAACTGCTGCTTCATACTACCAAACAGGGCTATAAAATGCTAACCATTATCAAAATAAAAAGGAGTCTTAAATAATATATTATTATGTGAGGCATTGTGGTGAAACCAGGCCCTCATCCAGATACTGAATATGAAGGATCTGGCTCTTTGCTTCCCGTTTCACAATTTAAATTGAATTTTTACTTTTTGGCTCAACACCTTTTGGGTCCATCTAAAAATACATGGCTGCCTGTTTGTTTGTTTTTAACTGAAAAACGTAGATTAAAGGCACAGAAAATGTAAATTTACAGCTCCTTCAGTCTCAAATTTCTTGATTTCCAATGAAGATAGATGAGTACTTTTTTCATCGAAAGCAACACAAGCGAACAAACTTTAACTCTTTCACTACCGTACTACCAAGGAATTTTCCTCACCTGGACCGGGCCCTAACTGTGACCTACTTTCTGATTCAGCCTACCCTCAGACAAATTAAAGATTTTTTAGTTCAATTTTCAATATTAGCCACATATTATTTATGAAAGTAAACACAACAATATTATACATGAAAATAAAAAATGAAGGGGAAATAATGACCTATTTCATCATGTTGCTAAAAATGACAATTTTCCAGCCTCAAGATTTCAATTTCAATTATTACAATTTATTTAAAGTAGATCTGGATTTGAAGCAACAAGTGGAGAGCCATGAAACACGGCTCCCAGTCCAGTGTTGGGAGTAACATGAGCTGGGAAACATGGCCGGCGGTAGTAAAAGAGTAAAGATGATACCAATAACTCCATATGCGTAAAATAATTAACGAGCCCCTGACTCCACCACATTGTGACACAATGTTAGCCACTTCAAAATGGAAACAACAAACCTCAAAGAATGGCAGATAAGTAAAAACTGACACAACTTGTTGCTCATCTTAGAATTTAAAAGGTCACAAATCATGGCAATATTTAAACTCATAGTCAAAGGCCTACATTTTCAATACAATAGTCTCTAAATAAAAGAACCATGTCTCAAATCCATTATCATCTAAAAATGAAAACTGTTGTTATCAAAATTTAAAATTACATTCTATTAAGGCTGTTTAGAAAATTAAGCAAAATTTGAAATGCCTCCACTGGTCATTAAACATTAAAAATCAAAATAGAATACAAATGTACAGGCCCTGGTTAAAGTAAAGATGAAAATAAATAATAATTATAATAATAAAAAATGAAATTTATAGTGCTCAACCCGGATTAAAGTACACAGGCTCTGAGCGCTTTACAATACAATACAATATACAGCAGTACCATAAAATGTTGTGTTCTGACCAAAAGAAAGTCTCTCCTAATATTTTAAAGGGTTTGACCTCTTTTAAAGTAGGCTACTTGGCAAATCATTACAGATCTTGGGGCCTTGATATTCAAATGCCCTTTCACCCATTGTTTTAAGTTTCACAGATGGTAAAACAAATTTTTTTTGGTCAACTGATGACCTTAAACTGCGAGTTTGAATGTACAGTCTCAACAGATTTTATAGATATGATGGCGCATTATCATTCAAGCATAAAATTTGTGCCACAGGGTGGCCAACTTGTACACAATTTTTTACTCAACAGGAAGCCAATGCAATGTCTGTAAAAGAGGTATAGCAGAGTCTCCCTTTCTTTTTCATAAAACTAAACGTGCAGCATAGTCTTGGACAGTTTGAAGTCTTCTAACTTTCTCCAGTGATATTCCTGATAACAAGGAGTCACAATAAGTAAATGTCTACATGTATAAGTAAGAAAACATCAAATTCTACATCCTTGAAGAGTTATTAGTATCTCTCTCTCCCTCTCTCTCTTTCTATCCCTCTTTCTCTCTCTCTCTTTCTCTCTCTGGCAGACCCATTAAACACACCATTCAGGTGTACTCACCCTCAGGATGAGGTCTGCATTGTTTAACTGCAGTATAGAGCGAAGACTCTGTGTGACCTCTGTAACCTTTTCTTCCTCATTCATCTGCAGTGATATAACATCAGAAGGTTCTGTGTCTGAAATTAAAAATGTTTAATTTAAAATGTCTTTCCCTTGAAAAAACCCCATTGCAGTTAAGGGGAAAAATTGGAGTCTCCATAACCACTGCAAACCAAAAATGACATGTAAGCGTATAGTAAATACACATAATGCAAATAAAAATGATGTGTTTTTTCCCATCATTAAGTCATAAAAATATTAGCAAATAATCAGTCATATTTTCACGTCATCTTCACATGAGTTGCTTACGACTGATGGAAACAATAAATTATGTCAATTTTTCGCTGCGAATCAGGAAGGAGTGTGGTGTTAAGAGTGCGGTCAAAAAGTCGTGGCGCAACTTTTTGTCAAACATTTCCTCAACTATTGAACATAAAGTTTCCAGCTTTTGAACAATGACTTGAATCAATTTGTCTTAACAGACCAATATTTTTGTAAACACCTGTTAGCTTTTTCCTGAAAATTCATAACTACTATCAAATACTAATTAAAAAATCTCAGTGGGTGGTTTCTACAGATTTCTTAAGGTTTACAACTGGGACAATATACCTTTTAAAAGCAAGTCCGTCAGTTTTTTCTAATCCTGATATTATCATATGCTAATTTCTTGTAACAAGTTTTGCCACTAAAAAGCATCATTGGTGAGCTGTGGAGTAGGAGATGCGAATACAAAATGCGTGTGAGAAGCGGGAAAGTTTGAGAACAATACCATTTTGTGTGTGACAGAGATTTATAGCATCTTGTATAAATTTATGAAGTAAAGTTTTTTAATCTAGCCTAAATTGTTGTGGAAAAATATGATTAAGTTAAGACAAACTGATACAAACTTCTGTGCAAAGTGTGGGTGACATTGATTCACCCATTAAAGAGATATTTGAAGAAAAGTTTTTTGACTGCACTATACTGTCCCCATCGTTTTATGAAAGAAAAATTCTGAAATTATGCAAAATGAGCCCAAAAATGTGAAAATATGTGATTCTGATAATTTTAACAAAGAATAATAAAGGACAATAATCAGAAATTAAGCAAAAATGATCAAATTTTGCTAAATTATGCAAGGAGCATAAAACCACGGGGGACAAACTATACCTTTGATTCAAAGTTAGACCAAATAAAAGGCATATCATACTGGTTTACAGTACAAAGTAAAGTTGACTAGAATTTGAGAGAGAGAAAAGCTGGCTATGCAGGCCAAGGAACCAGGGGAAATTAAAACCGATGTAATATAGGATTCTGGAAGTTCAATAAGTTGGCCCCCCTATGGCTAGTTTTATTTGCCACCTCAGGAAAGTGAATTGGCTTAGAAAATCAAATTCAAAGCAAGCAGTGATGTACACATCATAACCCCACTGACCAATTGTTAATTAAGAATGTGATAGAAAGCTTAGTTGAGGTAGCAGCTTATGTATACCTGAGTGTGTGTGATTTTGAAATGGAGAAGGATGGGGAAAGTACCTTTCTCTGTAGAAAGTACCAGAGAGTCAGGTATACTCAATAGAGGAAGGTGACCAGTAATGCATGTGAGGTGGTGTTTGCATTAGTTGTGAGCATGGAGTAGATCACAATCAAAATGGGGAAGCTTGGACTTCGAATGTTGAAGCTTGTTACAAACTCTGTGAGATTGACTTACATCAAAGTATGGCGCCAAAGGCGTCTGTGGTCAGGCAAATCAAAGTGGGACAAATCACAGCATGAAAAGCACTGAGGGAAGGAGACCGAGGTATAGACAAAGCCAGAAAGGGCCATCCATAAGCTTGTCTTGAAAAACCCAGCAATAACCATCCCATAGCAATAGTAACAAGTGTGTAACACATGGATTACAGCTGAAGCGGAGGCCTCGTCTTATCAGGTTGAGTATGAAAGGAATTTGAATGCCAAAGCAAAATTTAATATGAATTGTACATAACAGCTTTTTAGACAACAAACATCCCATGTTCCGTGAAATAAAAACATCAGTCAGAAGTAAAAGACCTAGGCTTCTGATCTGTAACAAAGAAAGATATAGAAGGTCATTTTTACCATTATCTATCAAAATGCTTCCATCTTAACCATCTTGTATATAATAAGTATACTTACGACCTTAGAGCACGCATCAAAATAACATAGAGTGAGTATCTAGCTTACGATTATTATTGTTTATATTGCTGCTCATTTATATTATGCATGTGATTGTAAGCCTACGTGTGTGTGCATGTGTGTGCTCGTGTGTGTGTGTGTGTGTGTGTGTGTGTGTGTGTGTGTGTGTGTGTGTGTGTACACTTGGTGAAACACCAAACCAATGCGCCAGGATCTGGACAATAAAGATGTATCTAATCTTATCTTAACCTTAAAAGATAAAGTAATTCAATCTAGTATGCCGTACAATTAAAAATTCTTCCTCCCCGTTGAGATGCGAACACCCCGAGGCGAGGGAATACCCCCATTGAGTTGTTACAGGGGAACAGAGAGAAAAACAACCGGATGCGCGAGCCCCCCATTGCCCTATTTTCAAGTGACCAATGAACAGGCTCGGAAAAGTCATGAGGAGATTTATAGGTCATACATCTGCCGCGAGAGTGAGGGGAAAATGGCCGGTCTCTGTGCGAAGCCGTTTTGGATAGGGGGGTAGTCGTGCATTTATGATCGGGTCAAAACAACTACTTGACACAGTACATTCAAATTTGAGCACGTACAACTATAGAGGTTATATAATATATATAGAACTATTACCATCTCGGCGTTGAAATTCAAGCTCCTTATAGTTTTCGGTACACCCGATACGAAAGTGTTCCCGACACCAAAAGTGTTAATTTATGTGCGTACAAACTTCAACGTCCACATATCATAAGTTTGCCCTATTTTCTGATTGGTTGCCGAGTATCATTTATATTGGTCCAGAAAAAGAGCAGACCGAGGTTGACAAAGTTAGTCACCTACGCTACAACCCGGTCCAAAAATTCACCCGTAAACGGGGACCAAATTTTCGCAGCGCGGGAAAGCCCGATTGGTATTGCTAGATCTCCCCTTGAATTCGGGTCCCGAGTCGGATCCGCATTCGCGCAGCTCAAGTGTACAGCGTCAGTCAGCTTGAGTTTGTGTGCCTTTGGAGGTCTTGGAACTGCCTGAGTTGGTTCGTAACTGAGGCATACGTCTCATTCAAAACAAGCCAAGTTGGTAGCTCTAGGTGTTCGTCCAAAGAAAGTAAATATCAAATTGACCCACTTAGACATGAGGAGCTCGAAAGGATCTATAGATCTAGTCAGGGAACAAGAGTTCCATTTTTCTACAAAATCTTTCAAATGAGCTTGATTTTGTAGGAAATGATCCTACCTGATAAAAAATAAGCTTATTCGATTATTTTGAATACCATTGTGCAGGTACAAAGATCAATTTGAGTGCAAAACATTCGGAAATTGACCTACATTATTATCCCCTTTCAAACCCCAGGTCATTCATAACGAATTGACTATTCGGACTCCAGTCCGAATATGAAAAAATGTTATTCGGACTCTGATTCTTGTCCAGCATGACATAACTTCCGACTTCCTGTGACTCGTGACTCCGGCTTCCTGCCTGCCTCACTCGTGACTTGCCTCAGGCTGGATAGAGACTGGGATCACTTCAGGCAAAATGGCGTTTTGTGCAGGAGCCGAGTTTTTATCTTATGATGAATTTGAGGCCAGCCTGAAAAGTTATAGCACTTCTAATAAATGTTTATTTGTCAAGAGGTCATCAGAAGTAATTAAAGATGGCTCGATAGCGTGTGTCGGGGTCGGATGGGCGGCCTGCACACATGTGGCTGTGTGTGCGTGTCGGGGAGGGGGGGGGGGGGGGGTACTAGCGGTAAGGGTGGTTGAACGTCGCATACGCATCAGTCTTTTTTTCCCCGGCAACTGATCATTATTACAATAATAAGCTAGTCTTGACGTCGATCTGTGTAATGAATTGTGCGCTGGTCTATGGAATCCAAAGTTGCCGTATGCTCGGCTCTACACAGCAACAAAACTTTTTCTTGGTAAACAATCGAGATGACACAGGCTTGTGTATTTGAACGAATCGGTCTTTTTTTTACACAGCTTATAATAAAGAAAGTGGGAAACGTGGGGGGTGGGGGGCGTATCAATGAAGCGGCGGGCATCGGATCGGCAGATCATAAGGTGTGGGGGAAACTAAAAAATGGCGGAAAATTGGAAGCACTGAACGTTAGATCTATAGAACGAAGACACTTCCTTTTTTCCGGACCCAAAGTCCGAATAACATTTCGAAGTGGCTAGCCGTACTTAGATCTAGGTTTGGCCCTATCAACTGTTTAGTACACAGGTCTCATTAGATCTAGATCTAGTAATTATTCAGGTTCAAATACATGCAAGTCAGTTAGGCATCTTTTGGTTTTGTCTGAAATACAAATACTTTTTTGGCATTGCAAACTAAAAATTTCATTTACAATTCAGCCATCAATATTAAGTACGGCTAGCCTGACAGTCTAGCCGTCCTTAAGTACGGCTAGCCTGGCTGTCTACCCGTACTTAGGTACGGCTAGACAAGAAGTCTAGCCGTACTTAAGTACGGCTAGATTGGCAGTCTAGCCGTATTATCTTAGGCCCTATTAACATTAGAAAACAGGAGGTTTTAAATACATACACTGTCATTAAGGCACCTCGTCTCAAATGCAAATACTTTAGGTATTGCACACTAAAAATGTATATATTTACAATTCAGTAGGCCTATTTTTAGTAAATGGTCAGTCTAGCCATCATATTAAGAATAAGTACGGCTAGACTGCCAGTCTAGCCGTCATTAAGTACGGCTAGTCTCTTCCATAACATTTTTCCATATTCGGACTCGAGTCCGAATATGATTTTTTAAAATTCAGACTCGAGTCCGAATATGAAAAAATGTTATTCGCACTCGAGTCCGAATAAAGACGGCCCATTCATAACAACAACAGTGTCTAGAAAGATTATTCGAAAGGGCGTAACTACTCGTAATGTCAGCTTATGAGAGTGGGTTATTTATGCGTTTGTAACACATTATAAATATAGAGAGCTAAGAAAGACAGAGCGAAAACACACGTTTCCCGGCGCGCGCGTACTGTACACTAACAGTACACACTGACTGACCCCGGTGGCCTGCCCGAAACGTCCAACGTAATCGGTTGCTGAAGATTCGCATCTCAGCACAGACACAGGACAAGAGTTAATACAGGCTACACCATCATAACACCATGTGACATGTGTCTATTCTAGAATCAAGATCAAGGCGCCGTGAAAGTACTGATGACAGTGACTTGAGTAACAGTGATGACCTGATCATGTAAAAACTTCGTGACGTGAACGTAGGCCTAGGCACTCTGCGTATAATTTAACAATTACCGGGAGAACGGTCAATTTTACCATTTTTCTGTATGATAAATCAACCCCTCTCTTTACTGCAAGCATTAAATACACAAACTTAACAATTCACAGACCATTCAAATCCAATCTTTTGACAGCAAACCAAACAGTTTTCGTTGGTAGATCTAGTATGTCAGCCATTTTTGTTGTTCTGAGAATTATTTATTATTTTATTTCTCTGAAGAGCCAGTCGATGCTTTGGACATTCGCAGAAGTCATTCCCCGACTTACGCAGTGGATTATAATATAGCTTGTTTACAAGATAAAGTGAAATCGCTCAGTTTAGGCTAATCTTCTCAGATCTCTTCAAAAGGGTCTAAAAGTTGGACGAGCAACAGATTCTAAAAGCCAATTCATAAAGGTCACTGCAAACTATGGCTCCGACACGTTTTCTTTGATGTAGGCCTAAATTAAGCGGATAAAATTGTTTATTATAGATCGAATAAATAGGGGGCGTAGGCCTAACTCTAGATCTACAGCTAAAACGTAAAAAAGTTGACATATTTTCCTCAACACCAAACTTTAACGTAAGCCTACCCCTCAGAGACGCGACTCCAGAGAATGGGTGGGCAGTAGTTAATTTTCGAGACTCACGTGGAGACGTCAAGACAGCTGGGGGGAGGGGGGTGTGAAATCTGCAAGCTTACACTGAAATGTGTGAGTGTGGGGGGGGGGGGGGGGGGGGGGGGGGCAGGGTGGTGTTGCTTAGTTTTAGTTTAGTTTTAGTAGAGGTTTTACGGGCGCTCGCAACTGCATACGGTCATATGAGCGCCAGTAGGGTGGTGTCTTAAAAGGGGCAATTTGTTGGCAAGTTAATTATTGTAGGCCTAAGTCATTTATTTGAGTGATCCTGTGTAGGCATCCAAAGAGCGGTTCTTAAAGTAGATCTAAGTAAAGAATGACCCATCACTTAAATTGTCGGATATCGTCGATGAACATGATTTAATGATTCAATGAGGGTAGGCTACAACTGATGACATCAACTGAAATGAAATGGAAAATACAAGACAATGATATAGACCAGAATGAAATGATGAGTTATCGCACTGACAAATGAAACTGCACGACGCGTGAGTCCCCAAGGGACGCAGGGTGATAATGATGATAGGACAAGAACTGAATACGAGTAATACTAATAATACAGTTACCCCCCCCCCCCAACCTAAGTTCATGGCCTCTCACGAGGCTTTCTTCGCCGCTGTGGGGTCGCAGTTTATTGAGGATATCTAAGGTCCTTAAATGTGGTCGCAGTCTCTTTGGGTCCTTGCTTATTGTGTGGCATGAGACGTTGCAAGACCCTGTGGATTCTGGAAGAGGCTGCTTCTTGTCCGGTGGTGGAGGTAGTCACTCCTGGCACGACGGGGGTGGTCGGTGCTTCTGGCACGATGGGGGTGGTCGGTGCTTCTGGCACGATGGGGGTGGTCGGTGCTTCTGGCACGATGGGGGTGGTCGGTGCTTCTGGCACGATGGTGGTGGTCAGTGCTTCTGGCACGATGGGGGTGGTCGGTGCTTCTGGCACGATGGGGGTGGTCGGTGCTTCTGGCACGATGGTGGTGGTCAGTGCTTCTGGCACGATGGGGGTGGTCGGTGCTTCTGGCACGATGGTGGTGGTTGGTGCTTCTGGCACGATGGGGGTGGTCGGTGCTTCTGGCACGATGGTGATGGTCGGTGCTTCTGGTATGGTAGAGGTACGCGATGAGAGACCTCGGGTGGCGGTTTCAGAAAAGGGCACGGAAGGGGGGCATGGGGTGCCCTCCTGTGTCATATGTCGGATGCAGCGGGAGCGGCAATAGAGCTGTAGGTGGGATATATTATTATGGAGAGGGAACCGCTGCTGTCTCTTGAAAATGGGGGGTGGGGGCAACTTCCTGAGAGGGGCTCGTTCAGTTGCAGTCGTTTCCTGTTTGAATGTTGTGAGGAAACGCCTACTGCGTCTTGTGAGACGTCCAGAACCATCAATTTTGACAATGTACTGATTGTTATCCAGCATTTCAGACACCTGCCCTGTACCGTCCCATTTCGTAGGCGCATTCCCAGCTTGATTCTGTATGAAGCATATGTCACTTGGGGTCAGGGGTGAAAGAGCTTTGACATGTTCATTTAATGTCTCTCCAGTTCTGGTTAAACGTGCTCGGAGGGCAGCCTCTTTTTATTCTCAGGCCTCCCGCCATAGCTAGGGGATTGGTGTCCGGATCAGAAAACTCGGAGGTCTCGAGTGCAAGTTGGTGATCTAAAACCAATAAGGCTTCGGCCGCCACCCCGGCAAAGTTTTTAATTCCCTATCAACACCACTATAAAAAAGAAGAAGATGGAGATATCTAGGACATGCTCTAAGAATGCCTAAGACAAGATTGCCCTATTGGACATGGTATTGGAGACCAACTGGAAAAAGAAAACGAGGAAGACCAACTGTTGAGAGCTGTAGAGGCACAATGTTAATAAGGGATGAGTCAATTACCCAGGGCCTGGATTGGCCGAAATTGGAGGATGTGGCCAGGGACAGGCAAGCGGGGCGTCGACTGCTCTCCGTCTTATGTACCTGGCGGTATAGGGAGAGAGTAAGTCAAGTAAGTAAGTAAGTACACGTACATGTAAGTAAGTAAGTAAGTAAGTAAGTAAGTAAGTAAGTAAGTAAGTAAGTAAGTAAGTAAGTAAGTAAGTAAGTAAGTAAGTTAAATGTTGACCTCCGACTTAACGCGCACCTCGGACATGACCGCAGGAATTGAAATGAGAGCCATGAAAACTCCACAAACAACCAGTCCAAGACGCCTCTTTTAGGATTCGAACCAATGTCTTCAGCTGAGTAATCCAGCATGAAACCAACTCAGTTGATAGTACACCCATCCATGCTACAAAGAGAACGTACATTAATCTCTTACGGCCGCAGGTCTTATCCTATTACTGGCATGTCCGCATCCATCTGGGGCCATCTTGCATGATTCATTAATCTCACGTATGTCGAACTGCTCCACCCGAACGTAAGCTTATCAATATTTAATCTATGATAATATGGTAGCCTACTGTACTTGAAATACACCGATATCCACATATTGTCTACATTCTTTTTTATGTACACAGATGAAAGCAACCAAATGAAAACGTAATCACTAATATCACTATAGCCTTTTTTTAAAAACAAGACAATCAAAGTGATATCTTGAAAAATAAATAATCTCCTCAGAAACACGTTAAATTAAGTAGGCGGGGTTCATCTTTACTTATAGAGTCTCTTGGGTTTACGTTTTACCACAGCATTTCAAAACAAGGAAAGATAACAACAGCCATATTTTTTTTAAACTCTCAAAGGATAAACAAGAACAACAACAACAATATTATTCACGTTTCTATGCTCAATTTGTAAGATAGACGTTATCTGGGTTTCTTCCTCTGAGACTGAAATCTCAAGACGAACTCGAGTCTCTGGTTATCTGCTTATAACCTCATTATGATTATATATATGACTCAAGTTTTTCGTTTGTCGCCCTGCGAAATTGATATCGTCCACTATCAACTTGTTGAATATTGAAGGCAAGAAACTCTAATCACACTGTGTCGTTAGAGTTTACCGCTCGATAACAACATTATAGGCAAGAGCCAAGACTGCGTTTATATAACGGGTCAGTTACTATTCTGCATGTAGTAAGTACAGAAGAAGGGTTTTTCAGAGGTGACACGAGTAAGTACTATTATCTTCAGGGAACTGAAAGTATAAAAAGGTAACAGTACGTACGTTTATTACGTTACTTTCTATTAGAGGTAAGTAATGCATTCTCACTGGCACAAAAATGACAGATCTACACATTCCTATTTTTTCTCAGACTTAAGATTGTGTATTATTATTATGTTATCGACGAAAAGAGATTGTTTTTCAGATGTGCTGCTGCTGCTGCTGCTGCTTATATGACTGTTGTGTTCCTGTGGTTTTGGAGGGGGCACTATAATAGACCTATATTGCCCTCTCCTCCTACTTCTTTTCAATCTATTTTTGTTTCTGCTATATTGTGGTTGTTGTTGCTGTTTGATTGTTTGTTTTCTGTTTGTTTTTTCATAATGTGTTTGGGGTACCCAAACCATCAACCGCAAATCCCATGACGATGGAATAGCACCTTTGCGTGTTTATAGAACGTAGAAGTGGGACCTGTAATTTCTATAATTTTGTCGCGTTGTCTCTGTATTATTCCTCTCCGTTTTTTTATGTGCATCTAGTTCAATTACATGTGAATATTTTTCCTTAGAAAAGGTAGTCCTACACGTGTCTTGTAGGGCGTTCAAGTTCAACCCGACCCAACTCAACCCGATTCGCTCTCACTAGTGGGCACCCCCTATAAGACAAAATTTCGAAGTCCAACAAGTCGGGGCTACCCTGGATACATTTCGCCGAGCAATCGCGAGTGATATTTCATGCTCGCCTTGTCAAATTATTATATGACGAAAGCTTGTCGAAATTTTCAAACATGCTTAAAATGTTTGCCGAGCGAAAAATGAGTCGCCGAGTCAATAACTCGCTCGGGGAAAACTCGGGGAAGACTAGGGGAGTGTCAGAAATAGCTCGGCATGCAAAGTGACAGTGACACGCCGACGAGATTTGAATGGTAGCCGAGTTCAATTTCATACTCTGCCAGTTAAAATATTGCTTGCCGTGTAAAAATCTGAGTTACTTAAAGCACGGCCTACAAAAGTTGACACCTCGAGCAAGCGCCATGACACAGCGACCTTCTTGCCCTACCATATAAACGCACAGCACAATTACCCTGCAGTGATCTACAAATCGACCATCTACTAACATTATTTGGTCTCCAGAAAGTGTTTGCCTTGTGGATGGTGGGGCCAATATTTTCCAGAAGTTCATGGAAAAACTCTGGAGAAACTCTGATCTAGGAAGTTCTAAAGGATGACACATCTTCAACTTGCAGTTCAGCCATCAGCTTCTCAAACTGTCCATACAGGGATCTTCGCATGAGCCATGGTCTAACTCAACAGGTCCTCTTCCTCCTTCTCTTCCTTCTCTTCTCCTCTTCTTGCATCAGTACAACAGCAAGGGCACCATAATATGTATACATGATGTACGCATCCATCGTCTGTGTCATATGAAACACGTTGAAGGAATGAGCACAGACCAGAAAATGTATGGCATGCTTGACGCAGTCCAGATTATGCAGTGGACAGAAAAAAATTTGGACGCTGCTGTGTACATGTCAAGTTGTAAAATATATAATGTTGAACACAAACGCACTTTTTATGTATGGTCTGTATGGAGCCTGTGTGTTTGAGTCTGAGCTTACTCTACTGTATTGAAAAGGATATACTGCAGGATACTTTATTGTGCAAAAGGACGTGCTCAAAAATAGACACGCACTTTTCGCCACTAGCGCAGATTTAGCTTTATGAAAATTTTAACAACATTAACAACAATAACAACAACAACAACAACAACAACAACAACAACAACAACAACAATAGGCAAACAGAACAAAAGAAACCAGCAACAAAGAAACCCGAATATCCCTTTTAGTTTTATCTCTTGATTATTAGAGTTAAATAAGAACGTTGTTTGTACATATAATAAAAGTAGCAATACACACGCATTGAAACAGGCATTGGATGGACAAATGGTACATAATTAGGAGATTTAGATTTTGCGGATAACATCTGCCTATTAAACACCGCAGTACAAATGTACATAAAATGCAATTTAAAAAAAAACGAACTAACAGAACCACCGGAAGCGTTGGTTTAATAATAAATTAATGTATCTAAAACAGAAGTACTGCAACTATCATCAGAAACTACGCCGTCTCTCTCTTTAATGAGACCCCCTTGCAGAAATTAGAAAATTCAAGTACCATGGCAGTATTATATCCAAAACTGCAGACTACCTTGACGACGTCCACCAGAGACATTAAAATGCATGGATCGCTTTTAAAAAATTAAAAACTATAAGGAAGTGAAAGATAATTTCATTGAAGACGAAATTTAAAATATATAATAGCAATATTTTGGCTGTATTGACGTATGGTTCAGAGAGATATATGGAAAAAATAAAACAATTCAACGAACATTCAAAAGCTTCCAAACAAAATGTGCTGGCCAGTGCTCACTATAATCAGTAATAAAGTGTTGGAAAGAGCTGGGATTGAAGATATCAACACAACATAAAAAGGAGAAGATGGAGATATCTAGGACGTGTTCTAAGAATGCCGAAGACAAGATTATCCTATTGTATTGGAAACCAACGGGAAAAGGAAAACGAGGAAGACCAACTGGAAGTTATAGAGGCATAATAAAGGATGAGGCAATCACATAGGGCCTAGATTTGCCGAAATTGGAGGACGTGGCCAGGGACAGGCAAGCGTGGCGTCGACTGCTCTCCGTCTTGTATACCTGAAGGTACGTGTATAGGGAGAGAGTAAGTAAGTAAGTAAGTAAGTAAGTAAGTAAGTAAGTAAGTAAGTAAGTAAGTAAGTAAGTAAGTAAGTAAGTAAGTAAGTAAGTAAGTAAGTAAGTAAGTAAGTAAGTAAGTAAGTGAGTAAGTAAGTAAGTGAGTAAGTAAGTAAGTAAGTAAGTAAGTAAGTAAGTAAGTAAGTAAGTAAGTAAGTAAGTAAGTAAGTAAGTAAGTAAGTAAGTAAGTAAGTAATACAAACGCACTGTTAACTCCAGCCACCATTCTTACAATCTTAATGTAAAAAGCGGTGTTTGAGCCTGGCGTCACGACAACCCATATAAGGCCCCATACAGAGGGAAGACCCTGGATGAGCATGCAAGGTCAAATTAGTTTCGAAACTCGATATGGGGAGGGATTGGGGGGGGGGGGGGCATTAGAAACTACCACTGGTATTTGTTGTGTAATCCAAAAGCCATTGGCCATTGCACATAAAAGCCGTGAGTTCGATTCCTGGGTGGAGACGTCCATATTATCCGCTGTCTTTGTCTGTCTGAAGGGCTCTATCCTGCTCAGGCCAGCTTGGCTCTGATACGATCTTTGATTATCTAAATGTATTTAATTGCGTGGATGGAGGTGTAAAACTAACTGTGCTGGTTGCATTATAAAGTTACTCTGTTAAGAACTTTTCATGACCGATTATAATGTTTACTTATATTACTGTTTAACTACGAATCATTGGCTAATAAAATATTCCTAACCAACCTGGAATCCAAAATGTGTAGCTGGCACAGACTCAAACTCACGTTTTCTCAGTCTAGTGTAGAGCTAGATCTAGTGTAGTGGTAAAACTACCGGGCTCGTAATCGTGAGGATTCCAGGTTCGGAGGTTCAAAACACATCTCGGCCCGACATGGTGTCACTGAACACGGATTTTCCTCACTTCACTTAGGAAGGAATGGGTACCCGACTAAATACGGTGAAAGATTTTATCAGTTTCTTATTGTTTGAGCGCAAAATCGGTTGCTTGCATTGAATTAGTTTCCCGGGAAGCCGAGAACGTTCAGCGTGTTTTAATTTTCGGGCCTGCTCTAAGGTAATACATTTGCATGTGATAGATGTAAAGCGCATAGAGCATACTTTAAATTACATTGTATGGCATGGATATATTTACACGATATATAAATGCAATCATCATCATCATCATTATCATCATCATCCACCTCCTCCTCCTACCCGTCTTCCTCCTCCTCCTCCTCCACCTCCTCCTCCTACCCGTCTTCCTCCTCCTCCTCCTCCTCCTCCTC